GGCGGCGGCTCGCTCCGCAGCGGCGTTGGCGCACCCCCCTACCAGCTGCAAGATGCTTTGTGCACGCTTATTCCTTCCTTTCCCACTCCAAGGACTTAAAAGCGCTTGGCAATTCCTCATTAACCACCAAGGCAGTTCAAAGGTAAAGAGGTCTGGGGGTTATTTCAAATGCAGCTGAGGAGTGTTGGCCCAAAGCAGTCAAATAACTTTCCAAAAGCTTTTAACAGTGGATGGTGGTTGCAAAAGGCACTCCGGAAAATACCTACGCGCACTGCCACATAACGTGCCACTAATCCAAAAGCTTCATTTTTGACAACGCCTTAAAAGAACAGCAGAAACACACAGTGTTTTCGGCCCTTGCTGTTTTTAACTGGAGTGCAGAGAAAACGCCGGGAACCCGTTTCTTATCATAGTGCGTTTTAATCTGAAAGGAGCAAAACTCCTTCTTCAAATTTGAAAGACTGCTTGTTAAAGTGTCACGGTCGATCAAGGTCTCTCAATAAATCCCTTCATTCTGATTTTGTGTGCATTAAACACGCCCTGTACAACGGAAGAAGTAAGAAAGAAGCTTATTTTCACAAAGGTCTTACACTCCAGCAGGTAGTGCCTGGGGATAGACCCAAAACGTTTTTCTGCTCAGAGTAAATTTGTGTTGTTGCCTTACAAGGCAGGTAAAAGGAGAGGAGCCAAGAAACCTATCTATAAGAGCCACAATTTAAAAAAAACATTTGCCAGCGATGACCCAGAACTTTTTTTGAGATTTTAGGTGAAAAATAAGTGATTTGGACAATTATGAAGCTGTTCCTAATGATTTACCATAACTCCCAAACCTTAATAGCTAATAAGCTAAAGTATCTAGACTATTCTTCTAACATACAACAGTGATATACAAGTGATAACAGTTCCCCACTGCAAGTAATCACATTCTTAACTCATATGTATGAGATCAATAATTTCAGTATTTAGACTATATATTGCACATGGCATTTTTAATAAAGACAAATTAATTCGAGGAATAGGTTAGCAGAGCTGTACGAAAATGATTTGAGGAAAGCATCTGGACGTTCTCTGTAACATTCCCCAAATGTCAAGTCATGTTTTAGAAGAGGATTCGCAAGAAGAACTGTTTTCAGCATTTAGATATTTTTTGGATTTCTCCAGCACAAACCCAGAGAAGTTAAATCTTAGGCAACGCCATCTCTTACTATATTGTCCTAATAGCACAATGCTGCTTATGTAGACTGCCAAAGACGTATTAAAGTTTCCATTTACTAATACAATCGCCTGAGAAGCATTCTTATGGCTTTTTGTTTGTTTCATTTTCTTGCGTCAAATTTGGCAGGGACCTGTTACGCAAGTACTTAAGACTCGATTCCAGGTTTGACTTACGGCTGTCCGCTTAAGACATACAAGGTTGACAGAAGATGAAGGTGGGCCTTTAGATGGTTAATTCTTCCCCCCTACCCTTCAACTCGACAGGCGAGTCTCAGCCTGAAGTAGAGGCAACAGCAATGCACAGACTCCCAGGTTTTTCCTTCCTTTCCCAGAGAGAAAGTACTACAGTCACTTGATGAGACAGACTTTTCCTTTATAGAAAAGGCCACCTACCCGCCATTTAGGCCGACAAACTGCAGGTTCTTCTTCGCGTTGTTCAAATCCTTTTTTCCATCCCTTTTCTTCATGATAGATTTCAGTGTATTTTCATTATTAGTACATACTGTTGGTAAGAGTGACAAAGCACAAATATCAGTACAAATTTGTAGCCAACTCTGCTTCAGGCAGTTCTTCAAAACAAACAGATTTCTATTTAATTTATCAACTGAAGCTGGGGTTCAATAATAAATGAATAATCTTCTAACTTTTTATCTTTTTAATCCTCAAATAATAACCTTCTTATGCACACAGACATGGTGTTACACGAACACTAGAAATACAAAAGACCACTTCCAGAAACAACTCTAAAAATAGGAAACTAACATAGCCTAACTTTCCCGTTCCCCAGCATACTGAAAATCTTTAAGACGCTTCAGAAAACTTTAGGAAATGACACTTTTTTTTGCTTTGCTGTCCTTGAGGGATTTCTAATACTGAAACTAATTAATTTGGTCCATCAAGACAATCCTGATTCTTGAGGTTAAACAGCAGCAGTTTATTGTCAAAACGAAATCAGCATATTTAACAATAACCTATCCAACAGGGTGAGGAGGTTCAATCAAGGCAGGGTTTTTTTAGCTTTACTATTCACTGAAATAACTTTTAAACTAATCTTTGAGCATGAAACAGGAAAACAAATAGTCATAAAACAAACCTCACACTTTAACAAAAACTGCTACTTTATTAACCATATTTCTCTCAGAAGATTTTGCTTATGAAGGCATTAAACAGCATTTCACTGATACCCTACCATCTGCCATTTAAAAATTAACCACTGGCTGGGCAGAAAGGGACTCACGGTGCCTTTTTCCATAAGTAAATCTTCTGCACTTATTTTGCCTTCACATTTTTGAGAATTTTCACAACTTGCTTTAAGCACGCTTCTTATTCAAACGCCATCAGCATGGAAAAAGGTTTATCTAATCCAGTTATTACCATAGAGGCCAGAGGCAAGCTGGTCATCTGTCAGATTAATTGGAGCTAGGGTTTTGTCCTGAGAAGAGTAGGATTTCCTTCCCCGAACTGCTTCTACCAGAGGTATCTTCCTCTCCTCCTGAACCGGCCCAATGTCCTGCTCCAATTTCAGCGCTCGCAAGTTTGAAGGCAGATGGGTGTTTGCAAGCTGGCCGTGAGGGACGAAATCCAAAGTAGCACCTGCCAAAGAAGAGGGTAGGCATTACTGAATACTCAGGAGTCAGGAACATTGTGTTCAACAGGAAAACTATTAAAATAATACTAATACTTAAAAAAAAAAAAAGAAAAGGCACTTGCACTTTATACTGCTCTGTTCTGAGGATCCAGTAGAAAAAGGGTGTGATCACTTTCAGAAACTAAAAAAATAAGTCATGAGTTTTTCTTTCCATGAAAACACACAATACGAGGAAAAATTATAGAGATACGGGCTTTAAAAGGGATGAAAGGAATATCCCTTCCTTTTCCTTTTCTTTCAGTAGCTGCACTATCAGATTACAATTTGTGTCACCCTGATTAAGGGCAGACTCACTTAGCTGCTCCTCACCGAGGTGCCTGAAAAGCATCCAGGGATTCTACAGCACCAGCTTCTTCCGGAAAAAGAGTTTTTGGTTTTGTTTTTTTTATAAAAAAAGTGGCATTTTCCTTGAAAGCAGGAACTTTTCAGGAAACTTTTTTTGCCAGCATTCCACTAATTTAAAAAGTTACATACTTTGCTTAGTTATTCAGCTCAGATAAAACTTCCCATACATTGAATTTCTTTCTAGCGTTTTTTTTTTGGCAGGATGCTGCTGAGCTAGTAGTTATATTTAAATCAAATTCCAAACGTTCGCGTTATACCTTTTTTCCTAATTTGCTGGCATCCCTTTATTTTTTTTCCCCCTCCGTGTGTTTAAAGAGCAGTACTAATTACACACAGATATTTATAGATACCCCAGGAGTTTCTCCAGCTGTGCTATTATGGCCACTCTAAAAAGCTGCACAAACAGCACACAATTTTGTTTGTGGAACACAGTTTGCTTTTTTATACATACATCCTTCCTTAGGCAATCTTGCTGGCATTTCAAGGAAAAAGATGTGTTTTAATTTATTTAAAACTCATTTTTAAAAAATCACCACTTTGTTTCAAAACTTGCTTCAATCACTTGCTTCGATGACTGACCACATCAAGAATTAAGCCACAGCACCCTCATTCAAAAAGGAGAGTGGTGCTGTACAGGATGCTAACATACTGCAGTCACGTAAATTCCCAACTGCTCACTTA